CTCTTCAATGTGGAAGGGATTGTCACTCTCAAATTGGCCTTCTCAGTCACACTAGACACTGTTCCAATCTGTGTTTACAGCATTTCTGACTCCACAGTCCCATTTGAGACCAGTGGGAGGACGATAACATGAATTCGGGTAACGTGGATTCTGAGATGGGCTTGAAAATCTCTTTGGAGACTTGGTTTAGCGGAAAGCCCATGACAGCTGAGTGCCGCCCCACCCCCAGTGGAAGAACACAAAGGCCTTGCCACCCGGGTTACATAGGACCCAGCCCAGAGAGGGAGGGAAGAGGCGTCCAGAGAGTGTGGCCAGCAGGTCATCTCTGCTTGGTGGACAGAGCTCTGGTGGTGTGACCAAACAGCATGCACTTCCTATCCTGTGCGCCAGGAGAGTAAACAGCGGCACAAGGAACTTGGGAACATGGTTTCTTTGCCTATGCAGGGGAAATTTTCAGCTTCTTGCCCAAGGGAGGATTTCACAACTGTTTGGACCCAGGCCTCATTCCGTGTGAAATAAAATATAAACAAACCTCACACGATACGCAGAGCGAAGTGATGCTTTCAAGGGAAGCCCTTCTCTTGGTCCCACCACCTACCTTCCCAGGTGTGTTTGGTGGGGACACGAGAAAGGCCCTTCTCTGTGGCAGCTCCCAAGCTGTGGAACTCCCTCCCACCGGAGGTCAGGCTGGCCCCCTCTTTGCTATCCTTCGGCAAGCAAATAAAGACGTTTCTCTTCAGGCAGGCTTGTTTCTGTTTTCCCTCTTTCAGTGTGGTATTTGTTTTGTCTTTTAAATGTTTGTATACTTACTGATTTTCAGGAATGTTAGGCAGAGTGAGGTGGCTACCTGAGGGAGGGGGTTTACTACAACAAGCAGCAAGATATTCGGAGGCAACTGCGTGCAGCGCCACCTGCTATGGAGAGGGCACTGCATCCTGTGGAGTACTGAAAACAAATTCAACAGCTAGTCTCTTTGTCTTCTGTGCCTGGCACTAGAGGGCATGCCGTCTTGTTTTTCCCAAGCAGCAAAATACTCTGTGGCCATGTGGCTTTTGTGTGTTGCGATGCAATCAGTAAAACCACCGGACTCCTTATGGGGCGGGACAGGAGGAAGAGTTATATTTTGCAAAGAAGCATCCACACATCACTGGTTTTGGAGGCGAAGAGACCCTTCCGGTGGAGCTATCATGAGGACTTGGGAGACCGGAATATGCACCTCAACTCTCAGAGACTGTCAACTCACGTGGCAGAGATGGTGAGATGCAACAGCCGCTGCCGTGGGAATATTCTCATACATCGGCCACTTCTTCTCCTCTGCTGAGCGACAGAGTGGTGTATGTACAGAAAACAAAGAAGTCACTGACCTTTTCCACAAAAAATAACAAATCATGTTCTGTCAAGTCAACTCTGATGTATGGGGACCCCTTTTCAGGGTTTTTGAGGCAGAGAGTACTCAGAAGTGGTTTTCCGTTCCCTTCCTCTAGGGGGAGCCCTGGGATTGCGCATCTTTCCCAAGGCCACCCAGGCTAGCTCTTCTCCCAGGACGCACAAGTGGGGAATTGAACACACACTCACTGACTGTCATATTCTTCAATGCACCGCACACAACTAGTCCTGGTTCCCAACCTATTTAGTGTGTATTTTCTAATCTGTTGAAGGATGCTGTCTTGGCCTAAGTTCTAATCAAAGCTGCCAGTTGATTCACCTTTTGTATGTGGAGAAGACACCACCTTATCTATCCCATCAGAGAGCAGAATGTCTTTTCCTGGCCCCTTTGCTCACGATGTGCTTTTTGCGTGGAACAAGCCAGTGGTCAGATCGCAAAAGCAAGTAATTGCGCAACATGATGAGAAGCAGTTTGCAAAACTGCCAGCTTCATCCAGCAAATACTGGAACAAGGAAGAGGATGCAATCAGTAGTCATGTAAGGTATTTGTGATTCATTCGTCTATGTATTTACCAGCGGTACTCCTCCCCCACCCAGCTCCACTGTCCAGAGACATAGTGCACACCTCAGGATTTCATTGGCAAGGATGCCAGAGAAAACACTGGACTTTGTGGCTTCCGCTTGTTTTCTTAAATCACAAGGCTGGCAAACATGTCTAAGAGACAGTTCTATTGGCCATATCAATTGAAAGTGGACTTTTTGTTACTGATCCCCCCCCCCCAATTTCCTACTCACCCACCCACGCAAGAGAGATAGCCTTGTGGCTCAAGCTGTGTCTGTTACAGGAAAATAGTCATCTCTGAATAAACTTTGCCTCTTACCACCAGGCAGGCTGGTCATTTATGGGCAGAGTTAGGGTTGACCTCCTTGAGTCCCTCTCCAAGATGCTGAGGCTAAATCAGAAGTGGGAAAAGATCTGTGGATGATTGTGGAAATTCCTGGCTTTGGGATGCACCTGGTTTTACACTCTCGAAACACAGACCACAGACACACAAACGTACAGCGAGACGGGTCAGAAGTCCACTTCCAGTTTCATAAAACCAGTTTCATAAAAACTCTTTGTATTGTGTGAGTTGGAGCCTTCCACCTGTCGTTTGCTTAATTGGGATGCCCAATCAGTCTCTGTCCTGGGGAACCAGAGAAATGAACCAGCAACAAAGTACAATTTATTTCTCTGGCTTGTTTTCCATTTTTTCCTTCCCCCCAAAAAACAGAATATTGGATTCAAAGGTCACAGTAGGCAAATCATGGGCAGAAATTCTGCCATTTTATTGGGTCACGTATTAGGACTAATTAATTATAGAGACGTCTAATATAATAATTTAAAAACCGGAAGGAACCCTACATATCATCAAATCCAGACCCTGTCAAGGAGGCCAAGTGGGGAATCAAACTCCCGACGTTCGGCTCCACCGACAGGATACATAAACCGCTGAACTATGCAACAATCAAATGTGTTCTAATACTTTCTTTCCACCTCTGCTTTTTTGATCCAGGACCCAGATCAAGCTTTAAGTTATCACTCCTGCTCTGGTAGTTCTTCTCAAGATTATAAGTCTGCTCTTAAGAGGTGCTAAATCAATTAGAGGATTGTGAGAGTTTTAGACCAACAATATCACTTTCCAAAGAGCTGCATTTTCCATCCTCCTGTTCTTCCTTTTCTTCTCCTTTCTTGGCAAGCCACATTGGCAGGCTCATTTTTTAAAATTAACTGTAGTTTCCTGTTGTGTCCTGTTAAGATATGCTTCCCAATTTAAATGTAACAAGAAACCATGGTTTAGAAGGAAACAAACAAACCAGGATCTTAAAACTATGTCATGTGGTTGTTTTCTATCCTAGGCTGCTTCTAGGTTAGACTGTTATTGTCAACTGTCTTGACTAGTTCACCGATATTATGGAAAGGAAACAATTTACTTACTCACTCAATTACTTATTTGCTGCCTTTCTCCCCATAGGGGACCCAAGGGGGCTCACAACTATTAAAATCATAAAATGAGACATACAAGACGACACAATGTTTATTTGTTTGTTTATTTATCATCTAACAGTCAAGTGCTCTCCCGCTAATTATTTGATCTAGAAAGACATGCAATTTAAACACTCTCTAGTGTTATTTAAACACCGCGGTTCTCAGCCTTTGGTGCCCAGATGTTCTTGGACAACATTTTCTCTGTGTCGCAAACGGGGGCTTTGGCAAGTTGTGCAACAGCCCCAAGGCCACCAGTTGAGTACATATAAGATTTCAGTCAGGGATTTGCTGTTCCTACTTCGGAGTCGGCAGGATGTTTGTTTAGAAATCAATCCAACGGTTTTTTTTCTTTTGAAGATGTGGGAAGGAGAAAGCAAGACTTTAACATTTTGTGCTGCTCTCTGTTGTACATTGTAATTTTAATCTTTTTTTAAACCATCATATGTTGATTTAATCTCTTCGTTTCTTGGATGCTACTCCTAGAATCCCATATTTATTTATGCCATGGCACCTTTCTCCTTCCTTCTCGTTCCTTCCCTTCATCCATGTACCAACAGTCACAGAAGGACAACATTCTTTTTAAGAAATAAAACAATTATTGGCCCAAATCCTCTTAACTAATTACACTCCTTTTGCTCCTTAGGACTGATAAGAGAAAGACATGAAATGTCTAAAATGTCTGTCAGAAAGCTTCAAAAACTGCTTTGAAATGCCCATAGAAAGTCACATTTGAAAATAATTAGCAGACGTTAGCCATTACTACTTGCTAATTGGTTTTGCTCATAATTTATGACTATTTGTTACCTTACTTCTTTATTGACATTACGTGCTGTCAAGTCACCTCTACCTCAGGGCGACCTATGAATGAGTGATCTCCGAAATGTCTGGTTCCTCAACAGCCCTGCTCAGCTGTAAAAACTCAAACCTGTAGTTTCCTTTAGGCAGTCTGTCCATCTCATCATTAGTCTTCCTCTTTTCCTGCTGCCTTCCACCTTTCTAAGCATGATAGTCTTTTCCAGGAAATCCTGCCTCCTCATGAGGTGTCCAGCTAAATTAATGGCTGGGTAGGACCTTAGGTGTCATTTCCCCGCTCGGTCTCAAATATCTTGCAGGGGCCCCTTAATTCTGGCAACGGCTCAGGGCCCCAGCACCCCACCCCACCCGGTAACCTGCAAAAGAATAAAAGGAGGCCGGACACAGGGCCAGATTTTGGTTGCCCGCTGGAACAACTTCTAGCAGAAAGTGTTCCAAACACAAGCTCGTGTGTGCTTTGCATAAATTCCCTCAGTGACCTCTTTTTCTTCTCCCCGGCCTGCTTGCCAAATTTCTGTGTGCTCTTTGTGACTCAGAGCGGCCAGTAATTCCTCTCTCTCTCTCTCTCTTTCTCTCTCTCTTTCCTCTCTTGTCCCTCTGCAGTCCCACCACCAAACACACACCCACATGCACACCTTTATCTCTGTTGCCTTGAAGGCTGTTTGCAGAGAGGCGTATAAAAGGGCGGTCAGAGGGCGAAGCAAGGACCAGCCACTCGCCTCTACCTGATCAGTCCTGCCGGCTCAGTCTCCCGCTGGTCCACTTAAGCATGATGGGGAAGCGTGGGCTTCTTCTCGGAGGTCCCAGCATCTTTCTCCTGCTGCTCTGCCTCCGTCCCGGGGACGCCTCAGAAGCTGCTGCAGAACCGTAAGCTCTTTCCTGGAGGATTTCTTCTCCATGGGCTTTCCTTCCTTCCTTCCTTCCTTCCTTCCTTCC